GCAATGATTTTCTTGCTTGAACCAAGTGTGCATCCACTTCACGTCCTGCCAAGTGATTTTTATTTATTTCGTATTCAAATATCTTGTAATATTTCCATATGTAGAGAAATGTATTTGTTTGATTTCAGATAAGAATTGGTACCACTAGGCCACAAAGGGAGGAGTTCAACTAACTTGTGGATGATGTTCAAAGCTGAGGAGAGTGAGAGCTTAAATCTATAAAACGGGTCAAAAACTTTTGATATAGAAAAATAAATTCTTCAGTTAATTGAAAGAGGGCAAGTTGTACAAAATGCCATGGAGCTAAATATACATGGAGAAGAAACTGTGATGTCACACAGTTAAATTCAGTATTGGCAGAATTGTGTTCTTATAAGTTATCATATGTTGCGGGATTTTCAGAGATTTGATGCATCCTGGGTAAAAATAGCCAAAACACTGTCATATTGAATTCCCGGAGGAAGATGAAACATTTTTTTGCTTAAATAAAAAGCAATAGTTATTTATTGTAAAAGGTACTATACACACTTTTCTATACAAATATTTCTCTGATGAAAATCTATGTCGGGGTATGTAAACAATAATTCATGGATATCGTCCAAGTTTAACGAGAGTGCGAAAATTGGAGACTATTGAGAAAACCCAAATATCACCGAAGCCTGCAAAGGATTCTGGGTCTGAATCTGACTATTATCTATTTTTAGAGCTTCCTATCTGTTGTATATATATATATATATATATATATATATATATATATATATATATATATATATATATATATATATATATATATATATATATATATATATATATATATATATATATATATATTCTGTGAAAATGCAAAGAAGTCGTTGGGATTACCAAAGATCAACATTTCATTTGAATACCAGAGATCATCAATTCAGTGGATTACTTAGATTCTCAGTATGAAAGATTTGATGACAAGAAAATTATTAAACCGGCAAAAATTGGATCTTGCCAGCAAGGATTTACTCATTTCAGAAAGACAGCAATAGAAAATGTAGGAGTTGCATGTAATACTGGAGGTTTCTTGCGTCATGTTTTGTACTGTTTAAGTGACGTTTCTTAGACTGTTTAAGTGATGTCCCTCATTCAATCAGTTAAGAAAATAATGAAAGCAAATTAAAATCTAGGAGTGACCTAGTCAATATTATAATGTTTTAACTTTTAGTGCTAAATTCAAAGAGGTGTCACATGAAGTGTTATTGCCGAAGTTCATTGCATTCCAGTAACTACAATGATATATCTAAAGGAGTGTGTCTAAACAATACAAAAACAATTAAACTGTAAGGAAAATACTTTGTTTCATATGCAATCATGCTTTTTATTAAATTTAATAGTTTGCTTATGACTGATGTTGAACTGCTTGTCATTTAACTGGATTTAAAAGTGCACATTTTAGTTCACATCAGTACAATGTGCTTATGTGAAGTAATGTGATTGCCCTGTGTCCAATGGCATCTTGTATTGTCAGAAATTTCTTGTAATGATATCTTCTAAGTTCTACAAAACTGATTATTTGATTTTAATCGTAATGATCCTTTGGTGGCCCTAGTAACAGTAATTCAGTTGTGGTCCAGTCATACCCAGTTGCTAGAATTTCCAGTACAATGCAATCCTAGGCTATTCCAGCCATTCCTTAGATCATGGAAATACCAGGAACGTCTGGGATATCCAAGTTCTTTGAAATGCCAAGGAATTACTAGAAAAAATGTTGCAAATACCGTGGGCAGGTCATTCTCAGTCATTCCTAAGATTATAAAAATACCAGTTACTGGTATTATCATAGGTCTTTGAAATGCCTTGAAATGCCTGGGATTGACTAGAAAAATGTTCCAAATACCGTGGGCAGCCAGGTCATTCTCAGTAATTAGGATTTTCCAGTACAAGTCGATCTAAGGCATTCCTGGTTTCACATTTTTTTTCTAGTTATTACCAGTAGTTTTCAGTCGTTCCAATTACCGCCAGCCAGTAACTGGAAATTCCTCAGATTTCCTTGCATTTCCTAGGAATTATTCCAGTAAATATTCCTGGGATTTCCCACTAAAATCCTAGTAAAATCCTGGTAAATTACCAGTAATTTCTGCAAGGGTAAAAACCAATTCCGCACCCATTAATAAAATAATAATTAGGCTGCCTTTTACAAATTATAAACTTACATTATTATCCTCGGAATTAATTTCAATGAAAACTTATATAATAAATACAAGAAAGCAAAGACAATTACGTTCAATTGTATGTACTGAAAACTACATGTTGTCTACAAATACTATTATTCCGATGAACAATAATATCTTAAGATAAAATTAAAATGAAATATTTTTAACATGCAAATAAACAGAAACAGTAATGCGCATCTGACAATTGAAAGAGACATCCTGGAATATTGCCTGAATAAAATTTTTGAGGGTTACGTTTTCAAAGTTTTTAAATAAGAAACAAAAGCTGGCTTATAAATTGTTGTAGTATCTTTTTCATAAATGTCATATGCCGAATTTTTCATTATTTGACTTCAAGTTTCTCACTAACATGAAGTTGCGACGACAATGATTTATTTTGATGTCGAATACATATTATACATTACCCAACACAATAACAAGAAGAAGAACAAGAAAAACACTGCATTTGTACATGTACTTATATTACAACAAAAAAGAAAGAAAACAAACAAATTTTACATATAGTTACATGTATATGTACAGTACATGTTACAGTACATGTACGTACGTATACTGATGTTTAAATACAGTAATTAATTTTTAAAATTTAAGGTTTCCACCGCGTTGACCGGTGTTTGACTGCCGCGTTCCTCCGCAATTTACCACTGCGTTCCGCGGGGGAAACGGTTTCAGCCGCCGATTTATGTCCGCGGTGGTGAAAATTTTCTGTCCGCGGGGTCACGCGGACAATATCTGAGCAAATTTTTCGTCCGCGGTAAACCTCATCCGCGGGGTCACGCGGGTTTTGAAAAAGTCGCGCTGAGCGTACTGTATAGGCAAAATCAATGACCCCCCCCCGGGCGGGGCCAATTTTGACCCCAGGGCTTTTATTTGAACAAACTTGGTAGACACTCACTAGAAGATGTTTCATGCCAAATATCTAAGCTCTAGCTCTTATGTTTTTTTAAAAGAAGATATTTAAAGTTTTTTCTTTTGGTTGCCATGGCAACCAGAGTTCTGCATGGAATTAAATTCTTTGAACAATTTTTAAAGGTGACCACCAAAGGAACATTCCTGTGAAGTTTGGATGAAATTGGCTCAGTGGTTTATGAGGAGATGTCATTTAAAGCAAAAGTTTACGGACGGACGACGGACGGACGCCGGACGCAAAACGATCACAAAAGCTCACCCTGTCACTTTGTGACAGGTGAGCTAAAAAAGAAACAAGAGGGCCATGATGGCCCTGAGTCGCTCACCAGAAACAACTGCTTTTCAGTGTTGGAATGTTAATATTTCCTAATATTAAATTTAAGCATAGAATAAGTTTAAACAATAATTTGAAGAAATGCCATGACCTTGGGCATTTAAGCTTTAGCTTAAACGGGGCTAATCAAATTAATATGAGCAACTTTGATAAAAGACTACCTAAGAATGCTACAGACAAAGTTTGGTGATCATCCATCAATTGGTTTTAACCTTTTCCCTTATATAAGCGTGTTTCGACGGCTTCCCCCCCCCCCTTTTGAGGCCGCAAACAGTGAAAAAATGTCCTATTGAGACCCCAAACACTGTTTTTCGTTTTTTGACCATTTTTTCGGCGCCGTCCCCCATCCAAATAATACATCAGGGGGTTGCCAGAAGGGGGATGTGCCCCCTTCTGTTTGGGGGGTTTGAAGGGGGGCGGAGTCCCCCTCATCGCCAAGAAAATTTTGGACCTGTGAGAGGCTTAAAATGACCCCAGGTTGATCATAAGGTAACGTGTAACCAACACTGAAAAGCCTTTGACTCTATCTCAATTCCTTGAGAAGTTGCAGCACTTTGAAATAAATTTTGATGGAAAAAATCGAGGCAAAATAGTGATTTTTGGCCATTTTGAGATGTCCCCTCGTTGCCATGGTAACAGGAAATTTAAGACTGAGCATGTCGTTACAAAGGCAATGGTCCAGTCAACATTTGTGCCAAGTTTGATTAGTATTGAAGCATTTTTCATAGTTTCATAGCAGTTTGAACTTGTAAGAGGAGGCTTTTCAGTGAAAATGGCCATTTTTCACAATATGCTCATGGGGGAAAGGGTTAAAGTAGATGTTTAAAGGTTTTTCTATTTTTAGCTCGAGTGGCCCTGAAAAGGGCCAATCAAATTAATGTGAGCAAACTTGATAGATGATTACCCAAAAATGCTACAAACAAAGTTTGGTGATCATCCATCAATTAGTTCTGTAGAAAAAGATGTTTAAAATTATTTCTATTTTTAATATTATCGGCCCCTTAAAGGGAGCAATCAAATTAATATGAGCAAACTTGATAAAAGACTACCCAATTGAATAATGCTACAGACAAAGTTTGGTGATAATCCATCAATTAGTTCTGTAGCAATAGACGTTTAAACATATTTCTATTTTTAATTTTAGCAGCCCCTATAAGGGTCCAATCAAAATAATATGAACAAACTTGATAAATGACTACCCAACAATGCTACAAACAAAGTTTGGTGATCATCCATCAACTAGTTCTGAAGCCATAGACATTTAAACATATTTCTATTTTTAATTTTAGCAGCCCCCAAAACAGGGCCAATCAAATTCATATGAGCAAACTTGATAAAAAGTACCAAGAATGCTACAGACAAAGTTTGGTGATTATCCATCAGTTAGTTCTGTAGAAGAAGATATCTAAAGGTTTTTTCTATTTTTTAGCTATACAGGTCCCTAAAAGGGGCCAATCAAATTAATATGAGCAAACTTGATAAAAGACTACCCAACAATGCTACTGACAAAGTTTGGTAATCATCCATCAATTAGTTCTGTAGAAATAAACATGTCAAGGTGTGTACACTATCAAGTTCAACACAAATATTTACTCACCTAACTTGGTTTGCTCATAATTTTGACTTTGACCTGAAGAAGTTTCCGACTTTATTTTTGCTATCTCCTGCAAAAACAACGTATCTTATTTACTCCAATAATTATGGTACAAAAAAAATCAACAATTTATTATTAAGAAGTCGAATTAAAATTCATAGGAGTATGTACTTGATAGTTTACGTGAAGCTATGTACGTTAACATAATAACCACCATAATTGCCCCATTTAATCACTTATGCTAAGTAGGTCATCAGCTCAGAATTTAAATCCTGAAATAATAATTTTGTTTAAACACTTGCATTTCTGAGTGGTAAAAATTTGAAGCCAAATTATCAACATTACAGCTAACATTTAACCATTAAGTATGATCTTCACCATGAGCCATTAGAGCTAACATTATACATTTAAGTATGACCTTCAACATAAGCCATTAGAGCTTACATTAAACCTTTAAGTATGACCTTCAACATAAGCCATTAGAACTAACATTAGAGCCATTAGAGCTAACATTAAACCTTTAATTATGACCTTCAACATAAGCCATTAGAGCTAACATTATACATTTAAGTATGATCTTCACCATGAGCCATTAGAGCTCACATTAAACCTTTAAGTATGACCTTCAACATAAGCCATTAGAACTAACATTAGAGCCATTAGAGCTAACATTAAACCTTCAAGTATGACCTTCAACATGAGCCATTAGAGCTAACATTTAACCTTCAAGTATGACCTTCAACATAAGCCATTAGAGCTAACATTAAACCTTCAAGTATGACCTTCAACATAAGCCATTAGAGCTAACATTAAACCTTTTAGCATGACCTTCACCATAAGCCATTAGAGCTAACATTAAACCTTTTAGTATGACCTTCAACATAAGCCATTAGAGCTAACATTAAACCTTTTAGCATGACCTTCACCATAAGCCATTAGAGCTAACATTAAACCTTTTAGCATGACCTTCACCATAAGCCATTAGAGCTAACATTATACATTTAAGTATGACCTTCAACATGAGCCATTTGAGCTAACATTAAACCTTTAAGTATGATCTTCACCATGAGCCATAAGAGCTAACATTTAACCTTTTATTATGACCTTCAGCATGAGCCATAAGAGCTAACATTTAACCTTTTAGTATGACCTTCACCATGAGCAATTAAAGCTAACATTTAACATTTCAGTATGACTTCACCATGAACCATTAGAGCTTACATTAAACCTTTAAGTATGACCTTTAGCATGAGTCATTACAGCTAAAATTTAACCTTTAAGCATTACCTTCACCATGAGTTATTAGAGCTAACATTTAACCTTTCAGTTTGCTTTTCACAATGAGCCATAAGAGCTAACATCGAACCTTTAAGTACATATGTATGTTTGGTTAAATATTAAACCATGCGTGCGATTATCACGGCTTTACTGTCGCAGGCGGTTTATACATTTACCCCCGAGATATTGTTTAACATCAAAGCATTTTAAAAGTTTGCATAAACTTTCAGCTGAAAACAAATGTACACACAAAATTGATTTCGGAGAAAACAGTATTATACTTTACATAATTCAAATTTGTTTGAATTTACATATAATTTCGTACATGTATGCCCTTCACCAAGAGCCATTAGCGCTAACATTAAACCTTTAAGCATGATCTTCACCATGAGAGCTAACATTTAACCTTTTATTATGCAGGAATATACCGGACACAGGATCCTGCATCATATACGCATAAAATGCCATCCTGTACCCACAAAAAATAAATTCTGCGTACACATGGACACTGAAAAATTGTCTAAAGTAACTGTCATTTATATATTTTAAAATAAATACATAAAAATTGTTTAGAGGAACTCTCTTTTCCGTATTTTTACGATATCTAAAGGTGAAGGTCATGGGAAACACAAACTGGTATTTAAAGTAACGTGTCAGTTAATTGGCTAGTTAATGTCGGCATTTAAAATACCAACCAATCATTAGTGAGCACCCACGTGTCCCCGATATTATTATCAGTGGGAGCGCTCGGTTGTTACCGTTATCTATGACAGAACTTTCGGTTTAAACAATGGCAAAACAGGCTGACTTAAGAAGTTTTTGGGTGGGGGTAGAAAATTGTCTGGGAGTGGACCCTCAAAATTTTGTGGTGGACCCCTGTTTTATAGATCCTGCGTCCAATGGACTCCTAATATAAAAAGGGTTGGTAAATCCCTTATAATGATCTTCAACATGTGCCATTAGAGCAAACATTTAACCTATAATTATGACTTTCAACATGTGCCATTAGAGCAAACATTTAACCTTTAATTATGACCTTCACCATGAGCCATTACAGCTAATATTCAACCTTTAATTATGACCTTTACCTTCATTTATGCCCTTTTTTAAATAAAAATTCAGACTATTTGTAGCAGATATATAGCTTTACACACTTCATACCTATTGTACATGGAATGAACCTGGTTGCCTTTCCAGTTAATTGACTAGATACTAAAATTTAATACTTTTGTCACAAGAACTTGAATTTTTTCTTTACACTTAACATAGTATCTTTATCTTCTTTAATACAAAAATGCAGATACAGGTGTGACATACATCATTTAGAAAATAAGCAGAAGGAAATTTGTTTTACCTTTTTCTGTTCAGAAACAAGAGTCTCCAAGACGCCAAGTTTCTTTTTCAATTCTGCATTCTCAAGTTTTTCGTCATTTTCTCTGGACATCTTGGCTTCAAGTTCTAATAGCTTCTTCTTCAGGGCTGAACTAGTTTTCTTTAGTTCTGCAAGTTCTTTTTCATTTTCCAGTTTCCCCTTCTTTTCATCAGACATTTTAGCTTCAAGATCTATTAGCTTCTTCTTCAGATCATCATATTCTTCTTTAGTTGCAGCACTTTCTGTTGATTTCAAAACTTTTGCCATTTCTTCTTTGATTTGCCTAAGAATCTCTTCAAAACTTTCAGTCGTAATAATAAAATCTTTGTTCTTCAGCTGATAAAAAGAAAAACAGTTTTGTTATATTTTCTATTATAAAAAATGCAGCTATGTAATTTATAATATTGACTCTTCTATACAACATATAATATATAAGGTCAAACTTTATTTCAAATTATCCCAATTGTTCTATTATTTAAACTCTCATACTTTGTTCTTAAATCCCCTTTTAAGGCAGTATCGTCACCTTAGTGCAAGAACTCAATATCTGCTTCTTTATCTATATGCAGTTATTGAGTTTTTGCACTAAGGTGACGGTATACACTAACCTATGTACTTATCTGATTCTAAGACATTACTATTTTCTCACCTTTTTCTTATCTGTTTCATTGTAGCCTATGGGGTTAGCCAAAAATGAAGAGTTTTAGAAGTTTTCAGAATTCTTAATATTTCTCACTTTCTGAATTTCACACTTAAGGGTTGGACATGCATGACATGGTGAGGTTCTAATAGGGGTCAAGATATATGCGGGTCACAGATAATTAGAGATACTATCATACAAACATATTGCAGGTTTTATTATCTCAAGTAAAATATCCTTCATACGCTTTTTCAATTTTCAGATAATTAAAGATAATTTTTTTTGGATATAATCCAAACTTTACCACAATATCAGAACTTAGAATTCCTCAATTTCAGAGGTAAGAATTATAAAGAATTTCGGGACCCTGAACATTGCAAACTAAAATCTTTTTCATTATAGTTTAACTTTTGATAGGTATATATCAGTGTCTATTCTAGGACGCGCGATTGCGCGATTCACGCTAGTATTTAACAGATCGCGCAAAATTCAAAATCATGTGCGTGAAAATCGCGCATCTATAAAAAAGTTAATAAAACCGTAAAACTTCCATCCCGCATTATATTTGGTTGTTTTGTTTACATTTACACCGAAAACCGAAGGAGGTAACTGTAAGCTAATTATAATAATTTAGTACCGTATGGTACTGGTTACGTGGGTTGACGGAAATTAACGGAATGTTCCGTATCGACCGGAACTAGTGTGCTAGGTCTGACAGTTGGGCGCCATTTTAGTGTAGTAAATAATCAAGAAAAATGAGGCAATTCCTAGCTTGGCTACGATCTAGACGTGAAAGATAGTTCGATTATTTGTATTGCCAATCCCTTTATAATCAATCGCGGCAGTTATGTAATAATTTGTTTTCGTTTAAAAATTAAGGGGGGACAACTTCTGCTGCCTTAAATAAATATTATCATTTTAATTATTTCATCGGTTGATTGCCTCAGTGTAAACTTTATGCAGACGATTTAACATTGGCAGTTTATATTGGCACCCTTTGATTTTGAAAATCGCCCCCTTTTTTGAAATAGAGGGGGGAAAATCACCCCTATTTTTCAATTCCTAGAATAGACACTGTATATATGTATTTTATGTGTCTTTATCAATCAACTTATGGGAAGTATCATTTTGAATTTGACTATAACTTCAAAATTATATTGCTTCAAATTCTGTTCCCAAAATTTTGTCCTGAATTTAGTGGGCTGTTTTCTTAAATCATTATAAGTTGACTCAATAAAGATTTCAAACTGATATAATTCATTATTTACACTTACATCTTGAAGTTTCTTCACCGCTATCTGGGCATCTGATCGATTTAATAACTCCTTACCATCTTGTAAAACTGCTATCATATCATCTAAGTAAGTATCTGCTTCACTTTCTTCTAATTCCATGCTGCTTGAGTGAAAGATAGCATTTCTATAGTGACGAACCTATTGAATAAACAAGAACGTGTTTGTTAAACACAAATACCCCCGGCTCAGATTCTTGTCAGTTGCAATATTTCAAAAAATGTTTACCCATTCACTCAGTAATGGACAGAAAAATTGCCAAAAAATTGTAGACACAAGTTATATAGCTTGACAAAGTCATGGCATTTTGTAATTGTGAAAAATATAAATTGCCAAGTCATTGCTCTGACTTGTGAAAATAAAAAATATTCAACTTCATGCACGTTATCTTCCTACCAAATATGAAATACATCTGTCATTAAATAAAGGCTGTATGGGCAAAAGTGTAAAAATCTATTTTGAGCACTGGTGACCTTGACTAAACTGACCCCTTACTATATCCAAAAGAAGAATACCATGTAAGTTATCTTCCTACCAAATATGAAATACATCTGTCAATAAATAAAAGCTGTGTGGGCAAAAGTGTAAAAATCTATTTTTAGCACTGGTGACCTTAACCAAACTGACCCCTAATTCTATCCAAAAGAAGAATACCATGTAAGTTATCTTCCAACTAAATATGAAATACATCTGTCAATAAATAAAGGCTGTATGGGCAAAAGTGTAAAAATCTATTTTTAGCACTGGTGACCTTGACCCAACTGACCCCTTACTCCATCAAAAGGAAAAATACTATGTAAGTTATCTTCCTACCAAATATGAAATTCATCTGTCAATAAATAAAAGCTGTGTGGGCAAAAGTGTAAAAATCTATTTTTAGCACAAGTGACCTTGACCCACTTATCCCTACCCCAATCAAAAGGATGAATACCATGCAAGTTATCTCCCTACCAAATATAAAATATATCTGTCACTTAATAAAACCTGTATGAGCAAATGTGTAAAAATCTATTTTTAACACTGGTGACCTTGACCCAACTGACCACTAATCAAAGTTTATGTTTCTATCAATTATAAATAACATCTGTCTATAGAATAAGGTCAATACACCTGTAAAAATGTAAAAATCTATTATTAACATTGGTGACCTTGACATTGGTAACATTGACCTTGACCCAAAAGACCCCTTACTACACCCAAAGAAGGAGAACCCTTGGCATGTTTGTATTAAACTAAGACATCACATGAAATATAAAGGCTGTATGAGCAAAAATGTTTATATTTATTTTTTAAACCAGTGACCATGACCCTAGAGACCGCACACTCCACAAAAAAAAATTAGAGGACCATCAAAGGTATCCACATACTAAATATGAAAGATATCATTAAAGAAATTAAGCAATTAGGAGAAATTTAAGATAAATCCAACTTGCCGAAATAGGTTAACCAGACAAGGCCCTATTTTCAAAGTGAAAAAAGGAAAATAACTGGAAATATGGATGACACATTATAAATTGCAATATATTTATTTTTATAAAAATAAGTGTGAAATTTAAACCATTAGTAAAGATAGAAATAAGATATTCCCAAATTCTTTTATTTAACCTTTCTTTCCATTAATAGATAATTAAAAATTTAATTGTTTTTTCCAAACATTTTAAGGCTGAAAAAAATCTTGGGAAAGAAAAACCGGTTATTAATTTCCCCAAATTAGATAATAATGTTAAAAGAAATTTAAAAATTTTAAAAAAAATTTAACCCTTCCTTTATTAAAAAACCTGACGGCGCACATTTTAATCCTTGAGGGTTTAAAACAAGTTTCAACTTTTAAAACGCTAAAATCCAAAAAACGGAATAAAAAATGTCGGAAAAAATTAGGGGTTAGAAAAAATGGAAACTGATTTTACATAAAACCAGGCCAGCAACTGGCGATTGGGAAACGCCAAATTTCAGAACTTCGCCAAGTTTGAACATCAAAGCGAAAACGATTTCGCCGCATTTTTTTACTGACCACATGTACATTTATATCATACAGTCCATGTTAATTAAGTTTTATCCTCGCCTCCAGGCATAAATCAAACTGAATTGGTGACGCACATGCAGTTACTGCCGATAATTGACATCAATTAACACATTTAAGTGACATATGCAGATGCATCGGAAATTCGCCGATGTAAAGGGCCCGGATGTAAACATCATATTTTTTAGGCATAATTTTACGACACCTGCCCACTATTTAAAAAAAAATTACACCTGGAATTGCTCTTACCATATTTGACAGTAATTACACGCAACCTCACACAGATCGTGTAAATTTACTTGCATATAAATTAATACACACAGAAGCACAAGTAAATGGTTTGACACCTGTTTGATAGTTAAAATGAAATTTGTTAAAGAACTTAAAAAACATTGACCCACATTAGACCAATTTTGGACAAGTCAAAAACACTAGTAGATAAACTTTTTTCTTCAAAAAGTTACATAAACGTCGGTAAATTATGCGGTAAACTACAAATTTGAAAATTTTGTTTTACAATGCCTGTTGCAATAGCGGTGGAATAACAATCTAAAAATAATCATTGAATATTTAATTAAATATAATCAAAATCAACAACAACTAGAATTGTAAGTGTTTCTGCAGGAAACAGACAAATTTTCATTTGTCACATATTTTCGCGATGCCGATTTTTACGATGAAAATAATAGTTACCAAAAGAAAAATTTGTTTTGTTTAAATGTGTCCAATAGCACTTAAAATGTAGTTTATTAATGAAAATTCCTTAAGGTATCGTTTACAAAAATTTTCATTGAAAATTTTGCCAGTATGTGTTGTACAATGAATATTTTCTTAAGGGAGGGGGGTGTGTGGAGTTAATCAGGAAGAAAACATTATAATGGTCTGATGATAGAGGGTTCTAGAACTTATACTTCAAATATCACTATCAATAAATAAGTAAAACTCCTTTTTATAGATCAAATCAATTACCTAAGCACTTTTTCCCTTCTCCTTATGTCGTCAAACTTCTCCCTGATAGGAGCTGAGGGAGAAGTCACTTCTCCCTAAAATTTTGGTCTAGCTAGAGCCCTGATAAGACATGTGCATACCTTATGTCAAATCAACTATAGTATCCCAATGTCTTGTTTTCATAGGCCTAGTCAATATTTAACAAAGTAACATAAGCGGATGTTTACCAGCGGAAATACGGGTGTCTGTGTTAAAAACACATAGTGAGGTTTACTCAATAATACACCAATATAGTGAATAGGATATCGGATATGGTTGACCCGGATATCTTCCCGGGTTATTTATCGGGTCTTTCTCGAGATTGTTCCAACGCTGATTGATTTGATGGTGATGTTGTGAAACAATATTGCAACGATAGCGTTTCTATACTTTCACTTTTTCATTTCCATGTAAAGTCATAATGAATTGATACAGTTTTCGAATATTTAAAAAGAATGTAAAATTCACTCATTTTGGACATAACTCAATCAACACGCTAAATAGATTAACTTTTATAAAAACAGCTAAACTGTTACTCGCTATTAATTGGGCAATTATCGTCTAGATTGCGTTTTTCACACATCTGAAAGGAACAGACGAAGTCGAGATAAACAAAGGATAATAGTGTGAAAATAACTGTTGGGGCTGAAATTTTACATCGAGATACTGAAAATATCGAAATAAAAATATCGAGATAAACAAATATTATATTTGTTAAGCTATCAAAATTGTTTTGTAGAAAATTGTTGGGGTACTTACCTACATATAAGATGCTATCATGAATTATACAGGTTTTTTTAAATTTTTTTTTTAAAAAAAGTCAACAGGCAAATTTGTGAAAATTTGTGTCTTCTTTTTCTATTCGAAAAGACCGGTTGAACCGGGGATCTTCCAAAAAGGTTTGGACACAGGAAGTATACTCTTGTATTCAAGTTAGTCACATACAAATTTTCAAAGGTAAAAAAAACCCAAAAATTTGCGCCTGAACAAGTCTCAAAATGGCGATCATTCGGGAAAAAAGTTTAAAATCCTTCAAAAACAAAGTTATGGGGGGAACGATTTTGCTACAATCATGCGTGACCTTCCCCTTTCAAGTCCCCAAATTTGCGCAGACACGTCATCTAAATATGGTGATCATTTCTGTTAAATAGTTCAGTTGTAAAGACAGACTTCAAATAATGAAGTTATTGGCTGAACACGATTTTCCTGCAAGGTCATGCTGTGACATTCACCTTCAAGGTGAGCCACCCAAATGATGCTCACCACACATCATCTCAATATGGTGATAATTTCTGTGAAATAGTTTAAAATCTGACTTCAAAGAACAAAGTTATGCGCCAGACACGATTTTGCTGCAAGGACATGCTGTGACCTTGACCTTCAAATAAGCGACCCAAATGTTACATGTGAAACGTTGATTCAATATGGTGATCATCTCTGTGAAATAGTCATTAAATTCAACTTCACAAAGTTATGGGCTGGACACGACTTTGCTGCAAGGTCATGCTGTGACCTTGAACTTCAAGGTAGTTACCAAAATGTTGCGCACGGCACATTATCTCAATATGGTGATCATTTCTGTGAAATAGTTGTAAAATCGGACTTCAAATAATGAAGGTATGGGCCGGACACAATTTTCATGCAAGGTCATGCTGTGACCTTTACCTTCAAGGTAGTGATCCAAACGTTGTGCGAGACACATCGTCTCAATATTGTGATCATTTTTGTGAAATAATTTTAAAATCCGACTCCAAATAACGAAGTTATGGGCAGGACATGATTTTGCTGCAAGGTAATGCTGTGACCTTAACCTTCAAGATAGCGCCCAAATGTTGCGCAGGACATGTCATCTCAGTATGGTGATCATTTCTGTGAAATAGTTGTAAAATCAGACTTCAAAAAACGAAGTTGTAGGCCGGACATGATTTTGCTGCAAGGTCATGCTGTGACCTTGACCTTCAGGGTAGCGACCAAATGTTGTGTGTGACACGTAGCCTCAATATGGTGATCATTTCTGTGAAATCGTTGTAAAATCCGACTTCAAATAACAAAGTTATGGGGCGGACACGAATTTGAGACGTACGTACGTCCGGACGGACTGACATGCAGACTGATGGACATTCTCAAAGTAATTATGTGGCTTCTCTATTGTTCTCTCTATTGTTCTTTTTAGCCACACAAAAGAGCCACATAAAAGCATTACGGAATGAATGACATCAAAGAGGAAGAAGAGTTACCTATTGTCACTCTAGCTATATAATAACTGTCCTGTAAGTGCAGACTGACGGACGGACGGACAACCCGGCGACTATAATTATGCTCCCCCGAAATTTTTCGGTGAGTATAACAAATAATTGTGAAATTTATCATTTCGGAAAATATGCCAGCATTCAAGATGTTCAAATTATTTTAACAAAGCTAAATAAATCTTATTGAAACTGATCAGAAATTAAAACATATCGGAAATTTTCAGAACCTCCACACCAAGTACAAAAGGTGGTACCTTTGAAACCATTGAAGAAGACTGGTAAATTTGTATACTTTTGTTGTGAATCGTTAAATTTTCATTTTCAATTTTACTTTGGATGCTGAATATACAGCATTTACATTACAATACAGCTAATAAAAGATAAACAAGACACTTTATTAATAATTTACCTTTGTAAAAAGATTGTTTGTTCCTGTGACATTGCATCCAATGTGGCTATGAAAATACTGGTTATTTATCATTAGATGTAATAACCCAGTACAATCAGTTTCACCAGCAGATTGTTTCTGCTCGTACCCTGGAGCATTTATAAAACACTTACAAATGCTCCAAGGGTCTGTCACCCACTGTTTAGCATCGGTGTTTTTCCAGTTAGGTGCAGGTGGCGTGGAGGCATGATGCTGCACAATAAAGTCATAGATGGCGCCACATATGTTGTTCGGACAAGCAATTTTGCCCTTACAGCAACAGCTGCATTTTACTTGCCCAAGAGGACAAACTCTGTTTTTAGCATTCCCTACTGGTTTATGGTCTGGTTTGAGAGTTTCAACACGACAGATGCCACACGTCACAGTTGATGGTAGTGATTTTGTAGACCGAATGTTTTGTAAGATATCCTTATGTTGTTGGACAGCTATGTCATTACAGAATGGTACCAGTCCCTCCTTTAAATATCCAAGTCCTAAACCAGCTTTTACCCACTGTCTGTATTTTTCCTTTTCTAAATGAAGTTGATGTGCCATCCTGATACTCTATCAATATCTAAACAAACAAAACAAAAGATTATGTTAGATTTTATATAAATAAGTAATTTTGGTCTTTGAATGCAATTCAAAGTCAAAAATACTGGGTAAATATGATATGTGTTCCTAAAAAGACAAAAAACTAGTGGTGTCATCAATCAGGATTATAGATAAATAAACTATGAAGACTGAACAATTTAGTTATTTTTTTATCATATAACTATAAATGACAACTAATGGCTAGTAACTTTAAAGTTAAAAGCCTTTTCCATTCTAATTTTATTGTTGTTGTTGCAATTACGAAGTTAAGGATTAGGTTAAATCCCGCCCTTGCCGTTCAAAACATACCGAGGTTTAATAAGCAAATTATAGTGTTTAGAACCTGAATAATTATTAAAGTTTAACATTTTATATTCATAATTATACAAAGAAACACAAACATAAATTTTCTTGGCATTTTCCCTGTTTAATATCAGAATTGAGGAGTCTTAACACCCCCTGAGCAGACGTGCGAGATTACAAAGAAATTCGGCAGTATTTGATAGAGATACGGGGAGGTAATTTGGTGTGATTTTCATTTTCATTTTGGAAAAAAATGTTTGAAAACATTTAGCATCACAGGCGCTTGTCACTTTATCAAATATTTTACATAATCAGCATATATTATACAGGGCTCACGCTGTCGGTCGCCATAGTCGCCATTTGCGATTATTTTATAAGATTGGCGATTATTTTTGCATTTTGGCTACAAAATCTGGCGATTATTTTTACTTCCAACAGTGTTTATATAAGGTGTAAAAATCGATAATGAATGCAGTAGACCCAATTAACACCAGCGGGGTGCATTTAATTGAGTGTCAACTTTTTACCGGTCACGTGCTGCTAACTATATTGCCCGAGGTGATAAAATACATGCGAGATGTATAATTGTATAAGTACTTTGAAGATATTGTCCAGCATTTATAATAGCCATCAAATATCCGTAAATTAGCCACAAAAATCGTTTTAAAATTGATAAACTGGATATTGACTTACCCAAAATTTACCGTGAATTCCAGTAATTGCAAATTTTAATTTTTTTTTGTTTTAAGCTACTTGACTAAATCGCCAGTGGAAAACAATGGTAAAATATTTAAAAAGTATTGAATTCCAAACAACTATTTGCACAACAACCAAAATTGTGAATATTTCTTCAGAAAACAGGAAAAATCCGATTGTCACATATTTTCGCGACACCGATAATTTTGATATTTATTTAAAGGTGAAATAAGCTATGTTCTCTTTAAAAATCTTTACTACTATGGCAGAAAATTTGTATTACATTGGTGATGATGATATTTTTCAGTAAATTATTCAGAAAAAAGGCTGCATTCTGTGAATGAGTTTGCAAACTTGTATTATTTCTATAGGCTAATAATATGACCTAGATCTACTCCAGTTCTGAGTGAAATGTGGAAATTGACAGTGGTAATAGCTGACAAAATTTGATTAGAACAAACAAAAAAAGTTGTCTGATAACAGCATTATGTAAAGTTATAATGAATCTTTAATATTATTGTTATACAGTAATTATACTAATTGTAACGTTTTTATTCTGTTCTATAATAACAATTAAAGTTGTGGTTCTATTTAAAAACAGGTAGTTATCAATATACACAAATGTATCAGTTTATTTGAGAATCCTTATAAAACTGAAAGATATAAATGTAATGTTTATTTAATCAACTGCTTATGTTGTTAATCGCTAATTCGTGAATAGTCCGCTGAACTTTTGGCTATTATTTTTTTAAGTTAAAATTATTGGCTATTATTTTATTTGAGCCAGTGTGAGCCCTGATTATATATATATATATGTATATTAAGTTTATAGTATATACTTAGTATATAGCCCATATAGAACATAAAAAAGTTTGCTTCAAGCACCTGTGGTTGGCATTCAATACCCGATATTTAAAAAAAATTGAAATCAATTGTAAACTAGTGACCATATAAATGATTTTAAAATATTCAATAATTTGAACAAACATTATTTTTTATCCAGTTTCCACTCCTCCATTTGATATGTTCTATAATTAGTTATTTCCGCGCACATGCAGTACATGTAACTGCGTGACATACAGAAAATCCCTTCCCTAGTTGGTGGTTATTTATGTAAATAGATTTTCTATTTATGAACCAAATTAAACGATATATTGAATATTAAATCATTTTATTATTATAAAACACCGTATCAAGAAAAGTTAATAAAAAAATAATCAATTTATAAAATACAAGTCATATTCGGTATCTTCTGTCCGCTACGGATATGACTTTTATAGAACGTTATTCGAATATAACTTATAACTTTTTTATTTATTGACCAAATTTAACAATATTTTGCATGTAAAATCATTTTATTATTATAAAACTTCGTATCAAGAAAATATAATAAAAAAATAATTACTTTGTAAAATATAAGTCATATTTATAAAGTCATATTCGAGGATATGAGTCATCTCCGGTATTAAGACATACCGCATATTACCTGGCAATCCGCGACATTTGGAAACGGTTGATTCAGTACATGGGTTAACGTGAAGAACAGAAGATATCAAATATGACTTATAGTTCATAAAGTTTTTTCTTCATATGATATTTTATAATAATAAAATGAAATTACATGCCAAAAATGGTTAAATTTGACACTGTATTAAAAATGTTACATGTTATATTCGTTGCATGTACTAATTTAAATTCAAAAGTCATATCCGTAGCAGAAAGAAGATATCGAATATGACTTTTTAAGTTACATATATTGCACGCTTTGTATAAAAGTCATATCCTTGGCGAATTGAAGATACCGAAAATGACTTGTTGTTTTCAAACTTGTTTTTTTTATTTTTTTATATTTTTTTTTTGGATTTTTTTTGTCACATAATTTAAAAAGTTAAAATAATAAAACATGCATAAAATTGTTAAATTATGCTTGAAATGAAAAAGTAACAAGTTATATTCGTTGCATGTTCTAAAAGTCATATCCTTGGCAGAACTTATATACGTTGCATATTCTAAAGAAAGGTTTGAAGATACCAAATATGACTTATATTTTATACAGTTTCTGATTGTTTTTCTTGATACAACTTTATTTAAAATATAAGTCATATCCGGTATTAAAAGTCATATCTGCGGATATGAGTCATATCCGGTATTCAGTCATACCTGGTTATATGTTGTTGTTTTTTTCGTTTTTTTTTTCTAATTCACAAAATAAACAGGTCCAGGCCTCTTTACAATTTTGACAAAAAATGCCCTGCTGGCCTAAAATTTGAATCAAGTTGTTATTATATGTGACATACCTACATCAGTGATTATTTCTGGAAATATCCTTCATATATAAAATATTATAATCTGATGTCAACTCAAGATATTGATACAATTAAGAAATTAGCAACTTTTCTATATATAGCGCTTAGAGAACGTGATCAATTCTTGTCTATGTTTACGCCAGACTGTGTATAAATTCGGAACTTTGCCTGTTTCGGACTAAATGATGTATTTCTCTCCCTTTCTCTGTTCTACGCCATTTGTTCATATTAAATCACGTATTTGATTATACTCTTGTGTGTTGATCTATATCCATTTTACTGGCGTGGTGGCAGTGAATTTACGTCCCACTCTTGATAAAGACCTGTGTACATCATCTCGTAATAGAATTATTACCGTGAACGCAAGTGTATTAAACAAAAACATTGACAATGGCAAATTCTACCCGCGCGTCAAAACAATGGCGCCTTACCAAACATGAAACTGTAAACTCATTTGAAAACTGGAGACAAAACTTAATCTACAGCCTTTCTTTAGACAAGAACTTTGCTCCCTTTCTCGTGGCTGGGCTTAAATGGCAGAAAAAGACCAAAACTGCACCTCACAGAGGCTTTGTGAATGACGGTGAGGATGTAGCCGAAGCTGACAGGAAAACCTGTGAGCAAAAGGTCAACATTCTTGAGTTGATGTTAGGACAGATAGCAAATTTTTGTCCAGAAACACTATTGTTAAAAACTCTACCTCCGTTGGTGATATTTGGCAAACAATCCGCCTCCACTATGGTTTCCAAATTACTGGTGGCCATTTTATTGACTTTGATTCTATCCAATATGATCCTACAGAGAGACCCGAAGATTTGTTCCAACGACTCACCACATTTATGGCATTTATAATTAGTAATTATACTTTTCTTTGATAAATGTAGCGCTTAAAGAACATGATTATTCATATATCTATGTTTAGATAATTAGTACTAATTCTATTTCTACGATAATTGTTGACATTTTGTTCTATACTGGTCGGAGAGATAACTCCGACGCATAGATAACCCCGACACTTGTTAAATATAATTTTTATAACTTTGTTTTTCAACAAAAAAGCATATGGTCACCTAGTAATATAGGAGCAGGACAGAATGTGATGATTTTTTGTAAGTTGGTAAACTTTTTAACATTTTTTCAATTAACCGAAACTTTTCGTTGGCAAAAACTGCTTCAAAACGTTCTTTTTACTAAATTACAATGAGGTAGTTAGAAATGTATTGACCACAGGCCACTGACTTGGGAAATATTTTTGAAAACTTGTTTTTACATCAACAAAAAATAGATAAAACATATAAGATGTAAAAATAAGTTAATGATGCTGATTTTCCTGTCATTTTTTACTTAAAAATTTAAGTGTCGACTTTATCTACTGTTGAGGGGTAAAAAGACCATGTTTTGTATACCCTATTCAGGACCTTAAAGAAGTACCAATTCTCATTTTCATACATAATTTTTGTAGTGTAATGTAAAGTCTTTGAACTGAACTTTATTTAGGTGGTTCAATATTTAAAATATACAGGAAGATAATTAAGATATTACAAAAAGTATGTGATTTAGTGTCGGAGTTATCTCTCCAACCAGTATATTTCTATTATGTCTTTACCATGTCTGATATGTAGCATCCACAGATGTATATTTTGTATTATAAATCTTTATATGTGTATGGGCCGGTGGTCTATAACTCAATAAAGTTTGATTTGATTTGATATGTGTTTATTAAGAGGGGTATATTTCCCCTTTATTTTCTTATTATTATTTGCTTATATTTTTCAATAAAATGTATAAACAAAGGGGAGATAATTTGCCATTTTCTACTTTCGTTTTCGGTACACACACATTTTAATAATCATACCCCATACAATAGGACTAGCTGTTGCAATTATTAATCAATATTATAAATTCATTTAAGGAAGAGCTTAATAAAAGTCTAATTAATGTGTGTTGATATTTAAGATTATTAGCCTCACGCGGAAATTCCCCAAAATCCAACTTTCGTTTTCAATTGATAAAACATTGGTAATTTACCTAAGCTAGTTAATTGTTTTTGACTTGTTATGTTAACATTTCATTTAAGTAAAAAATAATTTACTTATTAGTCACAAACGTTTCAAGATACTTACCGCAATTTCTTCAAATTTTGAGAAAATATTATCCGGGGCTATTTTCCGCCATATTGATTTACTCCAATTTTACAGCGCATGCGTATTGTAAACGAACACTACTAAATTATCGAAAGATTTCACAACACTAAATATTTCCCTACACTTTCTTTAGAAAAAAGGGTTAAGAGACTCTTTGCGAATGATTATTTGAGGCAATATTGTGCCTTTTCTTTATTATGAGAAAATAATAGCAGGTATATATCATTTTTTTTCATTTTTTTTATCATCTAATTCACGGGGATAGGGCGTTTACCACAACTTTTCGGCGCAACGTCAAAATATCATACTTCTGACCGAGACATCGTATATTTCTGGACAAAATATTAATGGCGGGATAACCAAATTGCAGGTAATAGCTTACAAAATATCTTACTGCTGGACATTGCAAAATTTTTTCAATTGTTTAAGTACTCCATCGAATTTTTGAAATAATTTATCGTTAATCTAGCACAACACAAAGTCAATTCACAAAAATTACATACTTCGAAGAAATAGTGTTTACAAAAGATCGTGTCTACCTCTACATGACTCGTACTTGTCACAAAAACATGTGCTAAAACAACAATGTATTTGTTTTATGACCCTACGAGCTTGTGTATACATTATGGTTAGTCATAAATTCAAGTTCCATACAAAATTGTGTGTTTGTATTGTAAATTTTAGGGAATATTTATGTTGAAAAAAGGCCTATTGACTCGAATATTGGAGCACCGTACAACACTGAATTTAAACACCGCATTCTTTTTCCGTTGAGCGATAAATACTGGAACCGTTTTCATTTGCACCATACTTTATAAGTAACTGTTAATTTACCTGCTGTTATGTTATATGATGCTGTTATCACATGTTATTTTATGGAAAACTTCCGAAGGTCTGGTCTATGTAAATAATACTAGTTAGATAAGTGCAATGGTATCTTATATATTTTATTCTGATATCGAGAAAAGGACACAAAAGTATTTGCTAGTACGCATGAAAATCTCTTGTTTTGTTAGGAATTAGCCTAGCTGGTGACATTTAGCTTTTTCTAAGAACTGTAATGTTTGCATGCGAAAAAGCAGCTTCAAATAACATGTTCTTGTACTGAGAGAGACAAACACTTTGTAAAGCTGAAATTTATTTTAAAAAAGTTGTCTGTTTTAGAATGACGTGTATTCTTAGAACCCCGGGCTCGTCTTGAGTCTTCATTCAAACGTTTCACCTTTACTTATAAGTTTTCTAATTAGCAAGGTTTCATGTCATTGATTTTGTGATTTTACATATATTAATAGCGGATATGCAGCTAATGATTGTCTTACAAGCATTTCGTTGCAAAGGCATAAATTAAGGCTATAATTATATATTCTGTTATTTGTTTCACATTTAGTGGCAACAACAATGATCAGCCTGCCATAAAAAACTTTGAGAAGAAAGAAATTGCTGTGTTATATAATGTTGCTGGTATTTTCGGTCAATGACTCATCAATAAGCCTATCTATTTCCGACTGAAGGTTCACAGACGAGTCTCTATGAGAATGCATAGATGTTCTGCTGTGTTTCATGGTAACTCTCGATACAGTCTTGCCTATTATAAGTGACTTATAGAATCAGAAATTGAGCTGAATTTTGTGCTAACATATTTTGTTGTTGTTTTTGTTTGGCCTTACAGCACAACGACACAACTTAGGTCATATGGCGCCAAACTGAAAAGATGATTTGTGCTTACCTCGGGAGTTACAAACTTAAAGAAAAACCCGGGATCAAAACAACCTCACCTGTTGGACCTAAGAGATGCAGATACTCTGGTCATGCGAACCCAATTGGTCGCCTCTTACGATCATGCACGGATGAAAGGCAGGTACAATTTTGATGCCTCAACTGTCAAAGGCAATCGACTACTATAAGACTCAAAATTAGCAATGTTTCATATGATTGATTTAAGTGATTTAACATATAGAGGGTATGTAGCTTATTATTGTCTAACACGCATATCGTTGCAAAGAAATGCATTAATATTAGTATACATGTATATTATGTTGTTTGTTTCACATTAAGTGGCAACTGTTGTCTTGAGCCTTCATTCAAACGGTTCACCTATACCTATAAGTTTTCTAATTAGCAACCATGCCATTAATTTTAGTGATTTAACATATAGAGGATATGTAACTAATTATTATCTTACAAGCACATCGTTGCAAAGACATTAATTAAGACTATAATTATATATTATGTTATTTGTTTCACGTTAGTGGCAACTGCAATGATCTGCCTACCATAACAAAACTTTGAAAAGAAAGAAATTGCTGTATTATATAATGTTGCTGGTATTCTCGGTCAATGACTCATCAATAAGCCTACCTATTTCCGACAGAAGCTTCGCAGACGAGTCTCTATGAGAGTGCATGGATGTTCTGCTGTGTTGCATGGCAACTCTATGTACAGTTTTGCCCATTATAAGCGACTTATAGAATTAAAAATTTTGCTTTACTTTGGCGCACCGGACACAATTTAGGTCACATAAAAAAGGAATGATGTTTTTCGCTGTCTTCGGGAGTTACAAACTTCACCAATGAGTTGTTGAAATATTGATCAGTAAACATTTTTTACCTCAATGTGATCTTGACCTCTGTCCCCTTGACCCCAAAATACCATTGTGGTCATCTTCTGACTATAAGCAATGCATCTGAAGTTTGAAGGTCAAGAGTCAATCGGTTGTCCAGTTATAAATAGGAAACCGTCTTGACATACCATGATAAGGTGAGGTGACCTTGACTTTTTGATTCCAAAGTAAAAAGGGGTCATATATTCGCCAAGAAGAATCCATAGACGAAGTTTGAGGACCAAAGGCCCATGATTTGTCAAGTAATTGATCAGAAATCGTTTTTAGCTACAAGGTCAATATGACTATGACATTATAGCAATGACCACAAAATCAGTAGCGGTCATTTACTTGCCAAGACCAATGCACCTACAAAGTTTAAGGGTCAACAGCCTATGGCTTGTCAAGTTATTGATCGGACACAATTTTTACCTACAAGGTCAATATGACCTTGACCACTTGAGTGTAAAATCAATCGGAATCATATATTGGTCATGAACAATCATCATACCAAGTTTAAAGTTCTTTGGCCTAAAAGGTCTTAAGTTATTGATCGGAAACCATTTTTACCTACAAGGTCAATGTGACCTTGACCTTTGATCCCAAAAAGAATAGGGGTCATCTACTGGTCATGAACAATCATCATACTAAGTTTGAAGTTCCTATGCCTAAAAGTTCTTTAGTTATTGATCAGAAAATTTTTTTACCTACAAGGTCAAAGTGACCTTGACCCAAAAATTAATAGGGCTCATCTTCTGGTCATGAACAATCATCATACCACGTTCGAAGTTTCTAAGCCTAAAAGTTCTTAAGTTATTGATTAGAAAATGTTTTACCTTCAAGGTCAATGTAACCTTGACCTTTGACCCCAAAATTAATAGGGGTCATCTACTGGTCATGAAAAATCAATACACCATGTTTGAAGATCAAAAATCAGAAAGTAAAATTTTAAGAAGTTATATGCCCTTATTTAGTTCTGTAGGAGAGGGAAAAACAAATAATTGCACAAATGAGTTCTGTATATTTTTTATTACGAACAGTCACACACTCATGCTATCAAAACAAGCAAACAAATACATTTTACTAATTTAAAAGTACATTGTATTACATTAAAAACATATCCCAGTGCTCTATAAAGTTTATGTGACAAAATCTAATAGTTATATATTGTTAACATTTCTCTAACCTGATATGCATGCCACCATTTAAAAACAAGAGGGCCATGATGGCCCTGAAGTCGCTCACCTGTATATAGCGCCCCACCCTGCCCCCAGCAGGGCCAATTTTAACCCAAGGGCTTTTATTTGAACAAACTTGGTTGACACCCATAAGAAGATGTTTCAAGCTAAGCTCTAGCTCAATGGGTTTCTTAAAAAAAGATTTTTTAAGTTTTTACTATACACATATAGTTAATAAATGACACCTCTGAGGCGGGGCCAGTTTTGACCCCAGGGCTTTTATTTGAACAAACTTTGTAGACACTTACTAGAAGATGTTTCATGCTTAATATCTTAACTCTAGCTATTTGGGTTTTTCAAAGAAGATTTTTAAGTTTTTGCTATACACATACAGTACAGATAAGGAAAATCAATGACCCCCAGGGGCAGGGCCAATTTTGATCCCAGGGCTTTTATTTGAACACTTGGTAGACACCCATTAGAACATGTTTCATGCTAAATATCTTAGCTCTAGCTCTTTGAGTTCTTAAAAGGAAGATTTTTTTTTAAGTTTTTACTACATGTATATACATATAGGGAAAATCAATGACCCCCTGGGGCGGGGCCAATTTTGACCCCAGGACTTTTATTTGAACAAACTTGGTAGACACTCATTAGAAGATGTTTCATGATAAATATCTTAGCTCTAGCTCTTTGGGTTCTTTAAAAGAAGATTTTTTAAGTTTTTACTTTATGCATATAGGGAAAATCAATGACCCCCTGGGGCGGGGCCAAATTTGACCCCAGGGCTTTTATTTGAACAAACTTGGTAGACACTCATTAGAAGATGTTTCATGATAAATATCTTAGCTCTAGCTCTTTGGGTTCTTTAAAAGAAGATTTTTTACGTTTTTACTATATGCATATAGGGAAAATCAATGACCCCCTGGGGCGGGGCCAATTTTGATCCCAGGGCTTTTATTTGAACAAACATGGTAGACACTCACTAAAAGATGTTTCATGCCAAATATCTTAGCTCTAGCTCTTACTGTTTTTTCATAGAAGATTTTTAAGTTTTTGCTATACACATATAAGGAAAATCAATGACCCCCCAGGGCAGGGCTTTTATTTGACCCCAGGGCTTTTATTTGAACATACTTTGTAGACACCCATTAGAACATGTTTCATGCTAAATATCTTAGCTCTAGCTCTTTGAGTTCTTTAAAAGAAGATATTTTAAGTTTTTACTATATGTATATAGGGAAAATCAATGACCCCCAGGGGCGGGGCCAATTTTGACCCCAGGGCTTTTTTTTTAACAAACTTGGTA